ATGATCGTGGAGATGGGACTTGCCAAAGAAAAATTACAGTGCTTCTTGTGTTCCTAGTTTTCACTTCTGGACCAGGCTGGTAATCATACACCCTGAAGCACAGCTGTATTGGAGATGTATGCACAGAGTCACTGAAACACAGCAGTTACGAGTTTTGTAGTTGGCACTGGCAAATACATCCCTCTCTGTATACGAAATGTCTGTACCCTCAAAGACATGCCCTGGTGGAAGATCCAGCTGCTTTCATCTCCCTCCCGACTTTTCATGAATTTCAGCCGATTGTAGCAGTAAAGGCTTTTGAGGAAGAGAGAAGGTCGATTGCCCTTAGTGGAAGACTGAGAAACAGGTCGTGGGCTGTGCAAGGTGCAGATTAATTGATGGTGGAGAAAGTGCTAGGACGATCTTGTTGAGTTACTGTGAAGGCTTGTGGACAGGCAATAAATATTGCTGCAATAATTCACAAGTCTGTTGTAAAATTACTTTTTTTTTTTATATCTGTGAAAGGTAGGATCCATCCAGCCCAGCATACTACCTTCTATAGTGACCACAGATTGATGACAAGGGAAAAGCAAGACAGGGCAAACCTTTGTGACACCTTCATACAAGTATTCCTTAAGGTTCTGTCTCAGAAGGCTTCCTGGGTCTGTTGTGTTGCATCTCTCTAGTGGTTCTCAATAGATCCCTCTTCCAAGTGTCTGTCTTGAAACTTATCTGATCTGCTTCATCTGTAACATCACTCGAAAATGAAGAAGTTCCACACATCTTTCAGCTGCTGCCTGGTGAACCATGTCCTTTTGTTTGATTACAATCTAGCTCTTACCAGCTTCACTGGAGAACCTCTAGGTCTTGAATCAGAAGAGACAGTGAACAACAGATTCACTCTTTCCATTCCATTCAAGATTTCACAGACCTATACTGCACCCCCTTTACACCATCTCTCTTATAAGCTGGAGATGATCCATTCCAGTAATTTGGAGTGATAGAAGCCACAGAAAGTCCCATTAACATATCAAATGTTTCCTTGGAGTAAGCTCCAAAAAAATACACAGAAAAAGAAAGTATAGGGGTGCCTTTGAAATATCTAAAGGTAAAGACTGAAGAATTGATCATTTCATAAAGTTCATCCTTTCTGAATGAGGAAGCAGATGAGTGGAGAAGGAAGCAGAAGAAACACTGTGATTGGGTAATGAAATGGTACAGCAGGACGCACTCTCTCAATGCTCCCAGTTAAAATTTCCCTAAAACATGCTCAAAGTGTCTGCCAGCAATCCATAGCTTACTTTGCAAGCTGGTCTGCTCTCTGGCTTCCCTGACACCTGGTTTCTCTTCTCCTAACCAAGTTATGTTCAAATACAGTTCTTGTGGTTTTCAGTTATATTGCTGGACTCTCCACGCACCTTCAAGACAACAATATTGACTAGAAGAGAGAATATTTTATGGTATGGTATGGTATGGTATTGTATGGTATGGTATGGTATAGTATTACTGTCCACTGTTTAGAGTTACTTTCAGTGGTACAATGGAATTATCACTCACAGAATCTCTCAAAACTGGTACAAAGTTCTGGAGAAAGGAAAAACAGCACATTTGCTGATAGGGAAACCAGACAATGGAGAATTACTGTAATTCTTCTTTCATTCACAGGGTTCCCTCTTAAAAGTGAGAAAAACTCTTGTCTGTTATCTCTGCCCACAGCAAGTGAGGGAAGAGAAATAAACAAAGGAAATGCCCAGTAACTGAATTCACAGAAGCCTCTAGGAAATGAAGAAGGACTGAAGAGGGTTTGACAGGCATGAAAAGAAAAAAGAGGAAGACCCTCTCTGTAACTGGCAGAGATGCCTCCCTCTGACTAAAAAGATTGCAGAGAGTGGCTTTTTGAACTCAAGAGCTCACCCAAAAGAACAACACTGGCTCGAAAGAGAGAATGGGTGTGAACCATGAGATGATAAAGCATCAATAGGTGAATAATTGCTGGAAAATATGGTCTATTAAAGTTGCCATTCAATTTGTGTATTTGTCTTTCTCTCTTTGGTACTTTACATTACATGGAGGCCTGAAATTTCACAAGCCTCAGTCTTTCCCAAAGTGGAAACTTCCTCCCGGAGAGGGCAGTTTGGCACAAGAACTCTTCACTGCTATCCTTTCCTTTGCAGTAGAGCAAAATCAACTACTCTGGGAGCTGAGTGCCTTTAATCCAAATGAGAGACATCACTAGGGCATTTCAGTTTACTGAGTCCCCAGGGACTTACCAAAGAAAAGGCTTAATCAATAAATGCTCTGATTCCTGTAGTCCAGAGATGGATGCTATGACGCCCCCATCAAAAGGGGCCCTTAACTTCTAAGGAGAGAAGTAACCCTAAGCTCTTCTGCAAATAGAACCAAAGTCCTGAAATATCTCCTCTTTTTTTGCATTCCCCAAGCTTGCATAGTAGTTCTGCATGTGAAATTTTAGAGAAATGAAATAATTTATGGTTCCAGCTTGCTGCTCTTTCTGCAAAGTGGATTTTTTTAAAAATCCTGAACCCAAAACATGTCCCTGAATGGAAAGTTCAGTCCTCTCATGGCTGTAAATCAGATGTATAAAGGAAGCATAATATTTGAACAGTACTTTTGCTTTTTAAATACATTAGCTCAAGATGTACTAGTAGCCCTGGTGATGAATACTTTTAGATATTTATGAAGTACAGAAGGAAAATAAGACACTCCGTGCAAAATGAAAACTTCCCCAAGTAACTCTGCAAACTCTGACACAGTGCAGAGGTTGTCATGTCTCTCAAATTGAAATCACAAATGAGAAACCAAAACTGTGCAGTAGAAATCCAAAAGCACGGTGCTGCCCCACTCACCAGGCCATGAGAAGCCACACAGAACAATGGGCACTGCTTTCTTCACAGATTTTTGAACAGATTTCCCAAAGTTTTTCCAAAAACTCTTGAGACTATTTGAGCCTTTCCTCAATGCATGTGCTCAGCATACCTTTAAGAATTTCCTGAAGGCTGCTAAGTACATCCTCATCTTTTACCACCTGACCTTTGTAGAGTTCTTTTCATTGCTCTCACAGCTGCTGTCCAGTCCAGAGCAGTTATAAACCAAGGCAAGCACAGCTAGTCAGAACCCAGTTTTCAGGCAGTGACCAACCCTCTTCAGTCCCTCAGAGGCATACCCCTGTCCTCAGAAGCAGTGCCATCCTGTAGTTGCTTTGGTCTCACTGTCCTGCTGATGTCTTTGTGTGCCATTGTGGTAGAAGACAGTGGGAGGGGAAAAAGAACATTGTTAGAACTGAGAACTGCAAGCTCCTTAAAGCTTGGAAACAAATTTGGAATCCACACATCCACCACAAATGCTCTGTTAGTTGACCAATCAACACCTAAGTGTTTATCCCCAGATCAGTATTTGTAAGAAGGATACCTTCAGCATGGCAATAGCACATGCTTTGGACCACTGAGATGTGCTCTGCTTTCCCTTTGCTGCTACTGCAGCTCTGGAGTGAAGTCTCAGGAGTAATGTAGCTGCTGCTGGTTGTCACATTGTAGTATATAATGACATCTAGCTCTCTGCTAGACAACAGTTCTTCCTAGAGCTCAGAAATGCCAACTTATGGGGTAAAGCTATTTAAGGTCCCTCCTTAAGCAACTGTTCGGTTTTATTGCCCTTTCTCTGTGCCACAGGAGCAGCAGACAGGGTGAGGAAAGCTGTATCTGCCATTGCTTGAAAAATGAAACAATAGTTGCGTGTTTTGCAAAACTGACTGCATCAGTAGCAGTGGGTAAGGAGGTCTGCATGGACACCCGTGTGTGTGCTACCACAAGTGTGTGGATATAGAGGGGAGGGAGGGTGGTGAGACAGGGCTGGTGCTACTGGTCATCATGAAGTGGCTGCAGGGAGACTGCCCGTGTGTTTACACCAGAGAGGCCCCACACACTAGGGATTCAGCCCTGTGACTCCCAGGGCTCACAAGTAGTGTGACAGGCATAGGAGATGTGGTCACACTGCCAAAAGCTAAGTTGGAGGAAATCTCCCAAGTGAAAACAAAGACTCTGTAAGTCATTTCCTCCAAGCTGAACAGAAAGACATCTGTGTTGATCCAGCTATTACACACTAGTCACAACAAAACAATTTGCTTGCAAGCAGTATAGACTCTGCTTGCTTTCCTCTAGACTGACAGTTAGAAATGTGAGAGATGTATTTCCAATGAACTTTACGTTACTCTCAATGAGGTTTTGCAGAGTGACAATTTCCATAGGTCAGGCTGGGCAAAAAGAAGGAGGTAAAAAAGACAGCCTGCGCAACATCTCACTACAGACCCTGAAGCCTGAAGTTCAACCTAGGCACCTGATGGGTCCAAAAAAGCCACTTCAGTTATTCTGGCTGTAGATGAGTGTCTGAGGTTTGGGGTGGCTGGATGCTACTCTTAAGTATGGATAATTATGAAGGAAGGCATTGTCACCCCGGGGGCTACCGGGGCAAGAGCAGATCTGTGAAGGGCATTAAAGAAGAGCAGCCTTGGGGTGAACAGCCCACTCGGGATGGGGGAGCTCTGTGCCCACCGTCTCCCTACAGCCCAGCCCGCAGCCCCGCGAGCGCTCACACTCACTGCGGTTTGGAACGAGAAATGTCTGACCGAAGCACCGCTTATGCACAATTTAAAGCCAGCTGGTGCCAAGCACCTACATTTTGAGGGAGAGTTTGCAACTGAGCTGTGTAATTTGCCTTTTTCTTGTACTTCACCGACACGATTCCGGGCAGCTTCCGCCGGCTGCGTTGGATGTGAGACACCTTCTCACTCGAGCTTCTCGCCGTGCTGCACCTGCCCCGACCGCGGAGGGCGCCCTGGACGGCGGTGCCGCCCGGCGGGGAGCGGGGCCCGCGCAGGAGCCGCCCCCGCCGCTTCCTCCGCCGCTGCCCCGCGGGGAGCCGCGCTCGGCGGGACGGCGAGGAGGATAAAGAGGAGGTGCCTTCCCGAGCCGGAGCGGGGCACTGCGGTGCCTCTCTCCCTCCCTCCTTCCGCCTCCTTCCACGCCGCCGGCGCCAGGGTTCCTTCCGCGGCGGCGGCCGGGACAGCCAGGTAAGGCAGAGCCGGGGCTCCTCGCAAGGCAGAGGGGCCGTTCCTTCCTCCGCGCTCACAGGGACCTCTCTCGGGGGGTGCCGGATCACGGAGCCCACCCTGCAGCGGCCGCTGTTTGCGACTTCAAAAGTGTGGGCACCACAACAGCAGAGGGACCGCTTCCTCGACGTCGAGGTGTCACTGGGACCTGTAAGCGGGAGCAATGACAAAAGCTGCCTTTTAAACCTTTGCTTAAAATTGCTGTAATTTGTGTAATATAAGGGTTGTTATCTAGGCTATCAAACGCATTTGAAAGCCAACATTGCTGAGTATTTCCTTCTTGATGTGACTTTCTTCTCTCCTTACATCCACGTAACCACTGTGCTCTACTAAGATTGTTCTGCCTCATCTCAAGGCAAAAGTTGCCTTGTGTGTGAGTTCAGTCATCCTAATAATGCCCCCTGCTTTCTATCCAACAGCGGGGTTATCCTTTCTTGGCGGTGAATGCTCTTACAGTCCTTCGTGCTGGGATACAGCATACCTGCTGCTTGTGCAGTAAGTGACTGGACTTGCATGGTGCTTTTCTGCAGCCTTCCTTTCTGCACCCCTGTAACTTGGAACCGGTAATTATTTGTAATTTGTAAACTGAGCTTTTAGAGTAGGCATGGCCACAAGCTCCCTGCTTGGAAGGATAGATGGATACCTTACTGTGACAAATGTTAATCTGAAATACTTAGGATTGTTTTATGAGTCAAATAAGCGAGACTGTAGCTTGTGCAGATGGAAAAACTGACTGTAGCAGAAATGCAGATAAAAAGGTGTGTTGTGCGTACTTGCTTTGGGAGCATTTGTTTTTATTTTAGAGTAAATGTTGCTGGTACCTTATTTGACTGTCCCACCTTTGATAGAGGGTGAAGTTTCATTTAATTTCTCAGAACCCTCCAGTGACTGGAAAATGGGTTATTACTTACTGCTGTTATATAGATGTTTAGAGTATTTTGGGCAATCAAAAGCAGCACACATACAAACAAGCTCCCAGTTAACTTGACAGGGTGCCCGGAGCGACTTTGCACATGCTCCTCTTACCTTTTGGCACACCAGCTGTGCTGCTCGGATCATGGCACCTGTGCAGAAGAGGCCCTTCAGGTGTCCTGGTCTTGTTTCCTGGGTACTGCTCTTGTAGGTGGGGAGGTAGCATAGGGTGTTACTCGTAGCCATTTGGTGGTTATGGTTTTTAAGGAGACTGCAGCAGGAAAGAGCCCAGTTGCTGTCAGAATCTCCTCTAATAGTCTTCATGTTTTTCTAGGTTTTATTTTATGTGTTTTATTTATTGAGAAATTATGTCTTATCATGAAATAATCACATTTATCTCTGCATTTAGTCCTTGATGAAAGGGTGCCTTACACATTCCTCTAAATTTCTGAATGAATATTAGGATTGTTTTGAACCAAATGATTTCTATGTGAGCTTGTCTGCTGAAACCACTGAAAACAGAGCAGTATGGTTATATTTGGCATCTTTTGTTTTAATAAGGTAATGTCGAAGGTGTGAAAATCAAAAACATACTGCCAGTTAGCTCTCTGTCTTGAAGGAACTCTAGTTCTCAGCTGCAAGACCTGATTTTATTAGCCCTTCAAAATTTATAGGAGTGCCACTTTTTTTTTTGAATGTTAATATAGAATTTTAAAGTCTTTGAAATCTTTTTTAATTTATTGATTGTGAGGCAGCTAGAACTACGTCCTACATTAAGTCACATTTTAATTCTTAGCTGTAGGCATTCTGGATTTTGCATTGCAATGTATCCAGTAACCTGGCTGACTGCCTACAATGGATAAAGAGAGAGAAAAATAATAGAACTGATAAAACAATATCAGCTCCATATTTTTTCATTTTACCCTGAAACAACATTGTATTCAGATATGCCGTGATAGTATGATATCCTGTAATTAAAATTAAAATAACTGGGAAGTGGTTACTTCTACAAAATTGCTTGGAAGCATCAAGAATATTCCCCTCCACCAAATGGAAGTGAAACCTCTTGTAGATTTAATTCCCTCTGTGTTGTGTTAACTTATAAACTGCATACAGAAGATAAGGTGCGATGGTGTAAGTTTCATACAAATATTTATACCTCAAATATGCAAAACATGTTCTGTTTTTTAAACAATAGAAGTCTGTGCTGCCTGCTGTCAATGCAAAGATCATGGAAAATAATATTTAGCTTTTGTTAACCATTGATGTCTGAGGTGTTTTTCTACTTTTGCATGGTTTGAATTTTTTTCATTAAACTATTACCTATTCACTGCTGAACTTGGAACTGCGCTTTAAAAGAGGGCAGGTTTGTGTATGCAAAAAAATCAGTTGTAGCAGTCTACAATGGCTCTCCTGCAGAAGGAGGATAAGGAAATACCACAATAAAAAATGAAAGATATGGAAAGCAGTACTTGGACAGAGTGGAGTACAGGTTGGCATGGTGAAGAAGGCCTAAGGTGTTAGATTTTTTTATGTTTTAAAGAACGTATGTGCTCCTGAAGTACATGTATCATATATTTTTGGATTTGTGCTACCTATATTTTTATTATTATATAGATGCATCTATTTCCACACAATTATCAATACCTTGGCTAAAAATTGTCAGCAATGATCAGTCTGTTTTTGCACCATGGAAATTAGAATGATGATGTTCATTAAATGACCTGTGGATACCCATAGTTTCCTCCATTATGCAAAATGCAAGGGAAAGACTCTCACTACATCAGCTGCATCCTGACTGATCTCCTTCCCACTGCAGAGGTATCAGCTCAATTTACCCTCATTATCTGGCTAGGGCCTCATGCTAGCACTAGGCATTAGATATATACTGATACAATGGGGGCACAACTCTCTAGAAACCAATGAAATTGCACCTGTGTTTCAACAAATGGTCAATTGGGTCTCAAGAAAGTTATTTTTGTTAAGAGGGTGTTACTTCTAAAGACAAATCATGAGTTTACTCTGCTACCTGTTAGGCAGAGGAGCATTCTGCTGTCCTGCTTCTGGTCTTTTTTTCTAAGTGTATTTTCTAAAGGAAAAAGCATTAGGAAAGCAAGCGTTGTGCAATTTGAGGGAAACTAATGTTTGGGTGGACACATATTCCTTTTGTCTGGTGAGATAGAAGAGGAACTGGGGAGCAGAGGCTTGTGACTCACCACTGCCCCGTGGCCATTACAGTGCTGGCAGTTCTCAGTCATCCCCTGCCCCGGCTGAGGCACACAGGCTGTGATTCAGAGTGAGGGAAAATACCATGTGAGATAAAACCTTGAAAAACAGATAGATAATTTCTGACATTTGGGAAGATGAGTCGCATTGTAGGAGGTGCTTTGCAGGGAGGGGAGAAGGTTTTTGCAACTTCCTGGGCATAGAGGTGGGCTGGAGTAAGGAGAGATCTGTTCCTTGCAAGCACTGTGAAGTGGCCACTGTGTTCAGATAGGATTGTGAAATCTTGGGAAAAAGACTCCTGGAAGTAGATCTGTCTATCATGGGCAAGGTTTACCTTTCTTAGGAAGAACAACATCAGCTAGGAGCAGTCTTTGGTTTTGACAGTACTCAAACATTTAGGAGAAAAAAGATATTGCTGAAAAGATATGTCTTGGTTGGATGACTGTTCTGTAGTCTGAGTGGTTCAGTGAAGATCATGCCTAGCTTGGTGTGGTCCAGCCTTGGTATGGTGGGCAGGAGACATGGTTTTCCAGGGCCTGCTGCAGAGAGAGGAGTTGCTCTGAGAGAATCTGAGCCTGGCCAACAGCCGATTTACAAGAGCTGTTCCCCATCTGCTGAGGTCAGCCATGTAAATCAGCTCCCGGTGACTGGAAGAAGTGTTTGGCCATGTTTGCAGTCACAACTCCTCTTCTTAGGCAAAGCACCAGGCTGCCAACTGGGCTACCCTATTTCAGCTCTTAAGGTAAAAATCCTGTGCAACATTAAACAAATGCAGGAAAAAGAAGAAAAAAACCTGTAGTGTGCTGAGGTATGTGGGACCTGGGCAAACTCTTTCTTGGCACTCTTGCTTTTCCTCATTCATGCAGATCTGTGAATGGGTGCCACTTTGCCACCCATAGGGTATAACTTCATGTATGCTCAAGTAGGTCACAGCTGAGTTTCCTGTCAGGAGGGTTTTTGTTCAGCCCTGTGCCTATTACAAGCTGTGATCTGACTAACTTTTAAGATCTAGGCCTTGTTTCCACCTGAATGTGGGGCAGCAAAAAATGGCTTTGGGTGGTAAAGGAAGCAGCATCTGGGCAGGAGACTGGGACCCTACCCTTTGAGTGAGCACACTGTATGTTAGACTGGGACAAATTCCTGACCATTTTTGTTTATTAAACAAAAAAAGAATCTTGTTGGTTTTTTTTTTTCTTCTCCACAAGATAGCCACATAACTTGCCATCAGACCCAGGTGATATCTAATAACCTTTTGTTTTAGCTGAATGTTGTAAATCTGTCCTAGGCAGCCCTGTGCACAAATCTTATCAGGTTTGCTGTGCTAGCCTATGGGGTAGGTGAGATAATCATAATACATAAATTCTTAACGTATTCGAGGTTGCTTCTTGTCTTGGGAATTACAGGGTGTCCTATATCACAGGCTCAAGCTCCATATCCTGGCAGAAAGAATAACTGTGTGTGTTTTCCCTGCCTCCTCTCCCCAGTTATGAGCATCTCTTTCCAAGTGAAACTGCAAATCAGATCAATTCCCAGTGGCGTGGTGGGAGGAGCAGAAGAGAGGGGGCCTCACCCACTTTGGATTGTGTGACCCTGTGGGAGTCTGTTTTATCACTGAGAACTTTGGGAGAATGACAGGTGAAAGGCTGTGGGGTGTGAGAGCAGTGAGAAGAGGGCCCTCGTTCTGTTTCAGGGGCTGCAAATGGCTCCTCTGTCACCACAGTGGCTTTCTCTTCCTACCAGGGCACTCTCACCAAGCGTGAAGGGGCTTGCAGTTCTCTGATTAAAAAAAAAAAAGTAATGGGCAAGCAGCAAAATTCCCTCAA